TGCTCCCATCCTCCCAAACGCGTCCCTGGATCGTAGTTAGTGAATAGGCAAAACTCATTCCCAAGCTTGCTGGAATGCTTAGGCCGGAATATGCATGGATGCAAACCGAGAAGTTCTGCAGCTCTATCCTTTTGAACTTCTCCTGCAAGCATCTCAGAATTTGCCAGGCATTAGAAAGGGATATAAGGCACCCAGCATACTCCAAAAAGGGGGAAAAATAGAACTGCAGCAGTTCATAGCTATAACGTCACTGCAAGTGAAAGACAATAAACCAAGAAGTTAGGTTAAAGGTTCCACGGGAGGACTAACAGTCCACACATACCTGTAAGTAAAAGAAAGTAAGCGTTTGACTGCGAGAGGAAAGATATGGTTTGAGCAACTTTCTCCAAGCACTTTCCACTCTGTGGTTCATAAAGAAAGAAATCAAATTGTATGCAGCCGACAATGGGAAGAGATACATAAGAGTGTCCACTAAAGGATCTTCCGGTTCCGGGACAGGATAAGACACGGTAAACATAGAAGAGGGAGGCCTAAGCATTTATAGTTCGCGAGGCCACATAGACTTACCAGATACGGAGGATCTGCAACAACTTGGAAAGCATGCTTCATTTCAGTTGGCAACTCTTCTGGTTGGTTGTAGTCCTAAAACATGAAGTCACTTCCGTATTGTTCGAAACATTTGTCGTACTCAGAGCAGTTGCACAGACACACTGGGATCAATTCTCTAATATGATACCACAAATATGTTACTTCAAAGACCTTTCTCATAATGAAAGGCCAATGACATGCACACTTCATAATCGAGCAGTTGCACAGAGACACTAGGATCAATTCTCTGATAGGATACCACAAATATGTTACTTCAAACGCCTTTCTCATAATGACACACCAATGTCATGCACACTTCGTAATCTGAGATATGAGCGTTGATGAAAAGAGTAAACCCATTCCAAAAGTTGATAAACTACCATGAATCATCTCATTATGGCCGAATCTTCTCTTAGACTTCAAGGCTGGACTAAATCATACGTTCAAGAGGCGCATCAAAATATATTACTTGTACTACAACAAATGGCATAATGCAACACCTATCGATTGTTCACGCATTTTACAAAACTATCTTCCGATTTGATACTTGACCGGGCACCACGGACCAGCCTACTACTTACATTATATAAAATAACCAAGTGGAAGCCAAAAGACCATAGAAAGTCAAAAGCTCAAAGCTCGAGTGTTCCGGCGTGGATAGGATTAACATACTAACGACCTTGAGGTTCTACTTCAGGAAAAGAGTTCAACAATAAGGGGACAAAGGCGATATGGCTTCCAAACAGCAATAGCTTCTGTAACTGACCATTCCCCCTTCATTTTCCTAGGGAGAGGATATATGTCAAAATGCCGAACAGGATAGTATACTCCAATCTGAAATTTGCTCCAGTAATATGGTCGCTTGAAAACAACTCACTTATTCCGAAGTCAAATCTTATTTAATTGATTTAGCATGGAGTCATCGAACTTTGACATGACCAGCGCATTTGCGCCGGTGGTGTCAAGCCAATCACTCTCTCGGCGAAGCCCAATTCCAATAAGATCGCTCGAATGACATAAGGGTATGCACACTCCCGACAGTAAGCGTGGCGAACCATGACATAAGGAAAGGCATGGACCAGAACCTGAAAGGGCAGTAACAAGAACATCAACCAGAGGCTCACGCTGGCCCTTTGCAGTTACAAGGAGTATACAATAACATCGACCAGAGGCTCGCGTTGGTCCTTTGCATTTACAAGGAGCAACAAGAACATTGGAAAAAAGCGTAAACCGGAAGCTCATTGTCAAGTAGAAACACAGAGCGCAGTTCAGATAATCACAGTCGATCAGTTCTTCAACCACGGAAAAGCCGATGGAACAGTAAAATGGCGCACCTTGAGATAAGCATAAAGCGTGGGGCAAGCGATGCAAGCAACGCGAGCGTGAGTGCCCGAACAGAGCGGGAGGACTTCATTGGCGACGGCCAGAACTGGCTCAGCCTCCAGTCCTCCGTCACCAGGGCCACCTCCGACTGCTCCGCCGGCGACTGGTTCTGCTTGCGGAGGAATTCCTGGAGAGCTGCGACGGCTTGCGAAAAGTGTATGTCCCTCGTTTTTATCTTGATTTCAGGACTGATTTTACTGTATGTCCCTGGTTTTCCATTTTTATAAAGCATTTTGTGGTTAGAATCTTGAAAAGTGTTCTTCATAAAAGTTGTTCACAAGATCTTGATCTATAACATACTTAAATTTCAGATTTTTCTGAGCTCAAATGGGTTACACGAAGGTCCAATTTCTTACCGAATCAGAACTGTTTTATACTGTGGATTCCGTGACCTTCGTGCCTTCTCAGATTTTTATAAAAATTTCCAGTTCGATTTCGACCATACTTCCTTCATAAGATTTATAAAAGAAATCCATGTCTAAAACGTATAAAAATTTCAAAGTGTTTTGAAAGGATTTGGCTTGTAAAACGAGTATTTCTTCTGGTTCAGTTCCCCTGTTCCGGCGGACCAGTTCTGGGTTGTTTCCAAGCCATCAAAAGTGATCTTTGTATAAGGATTTTGGGATTCTGTTCTTCATGGAAAATATTTGTGAAGGTCTTGTTTATAACATATTCGAATTTTATAATTTTTGGAAACCATTCGTTATGCTTTTGAAGTTGATTTCCCAAATCATGCAAATCTGTCCAGTTTTACTAGAATTCCATAATTTGCCGGTCTTTACTTGAAATCTTTGGCTTTCGATTTCCGGCCTAATAGAGACAGTAACCACACTTATCTAGCCTTTTAATGATGTTTATTTGGCATTGATCTGATGTCGAATGCTTTTGTAAATTCATGTTTTAAAATCAGGTTCACGAAGTCAATTGACCGTTTGCATGTGTGACCACTTGTTATTGTTTTGTGGCATGAATGTGAGCACGATTCATGTATGCATTGGCTAAATGAAAAGATAAGAATTGGCCTGAATGCTTGTGTGCTCGTGTTGTCACACGTTGGAGTCGTCTCGCTGTGTATCGCTTGACGATGCCCGGTTTATCGAGGTCTGCTGCGTATTGCGCTCGGTTTATCGGACGCCTGAAGATTATGTGGATTGCCGATGCTCCGGATGCCGGATCGCGGCCCGAGGGTGGATCCAATGCTCCTTACGGGATACCATCTTACTGTGTATCATTTGACGTTGCCGTGCCCGACGGGGCGGGACGATGTCCGGTTATGCCGGAAGACTGCCATCTCGCTGTGTGTCGCTTGATGTGTAGTGGCCAAGAGGGGTCGTAATAAATGGAATACGTGTGATGCATAGTGCTTGATTATGGGGTAGAAACTGCTAGGCATGGTATGGGACGTGCCCAAGTGGATTTTGCCTTATAATCGAGACACGCGCGACTGTGATGCATTAATGCATGGGAAATCTCATTACATGTTCTGCATATGTGATATGTTTGATGCATCGTTGTGACATATGACTATCTATGTTATGCATAATATGTGTGCCAAGGCAAGGTAGGGATGCCTGTGGTTGGTTAATGATTTGTGCATGGTCGCGTGATTAGGGACCCCCGAGGTGAGTTGACATTCTAAACGGGGCTTAGGCGTTAACTTATTGAGATTTTTATCTCATTTGTGGTTGTTAAACATTGTTCAGGCCCTTAGCATGTTGATGCACCTAGTATGATTCGGGGTGCCTGGAAGCTGACTTTTGGTGAAGTAGATTGACCCCAGCCTCATATCTTTTTGTAGACTTTTTGGAAATGCCTGAAGTGGGCTTGTAAAAATGTTCCCAGGGGTTAATCAAGTAAATGTTAAAATGGTGTTTTGATTTCAATGTTGTAAACTGTTTTCCTATCTATCCTTGTTTATTGTTATTATCTGGGTGAATCTTTGTTTAGCTTCCGCATGCGTAATCAAAAGATAAAATGTTGGGTCGGCGGCGCGTCCTGGGACGTCGCATCATAATGACCATTGCAGGATGTTGCGCGCTCGCGGGATTCGGGGCGTGACACATATCTCATTTTCTTTTTGAAGTTTACAATTGTTCTCAATAAAATCTTGATTTTGCTTTTTCTAAGCAAATCCAAAGGTGGAAGAGCAAACACCCCAAACGATTTCGTAATCTTGGTCTTCAACTCCCTTTTCTATAAAATAACAAACAACTTATGAACCTTAAATTGTCGGAATATTCAAGGACAGATTTTGATTCAGCTAATCTCAAAATGAGACGAAAGGTAAAATCACGAAAAAGGTTAACATATCGAATGTGTAGAAAGTGGGAAATGCGGAGTTTGGGGTCATATAATAATCTAAAGTCTTGATGACGGGGAATGCTTGTATTTCATGCTTCTGGCGTCATGCGATTGCTAATGCCTTCAGGTTCTTGGCGACCTTGAATTTCTTCTCATATCCACTATTCCTATGCTAGATTAGATAGTCTAAAACAAGCGTGCACAGCCTCGCAAAGCCTATTTGCCTTCATGAATCAGAGAAGGGGAAAAAGTTAAGAGTTTCTGACAGCATGGAACAAATTGAACATGGCCAGGGGTTTGTTTCCGTGGACAAGATCCCCACCGTTGAGTAAACCTCCTATCCCCTCATCGTAGATCATGCATTTTGAAAGCAGGGGTTTGTTTCCCACTCTGTCGTCTTCAATGCAGTTCTAGCTCAAATTTGCAGGAGGGAGGGAGCTTGCTTTCGCATTTCGCAACCGTGAGTGGCCCAACTGAATAAATGCACTCCATGTTCATGGTTGATGTGGTGTTTTGATATTACCGAATATTTTTTCGTTACTTAGTAAGTGAGAATTACATATTTTATAGTCTTTTGAGAAAATAAAAAGTGAGATAATTAGGGGGTCATATATAGAAAAAAAATGAGTTGTTACGTATAATGGAAATTTGGGGCCAACTTGCTCTAGCGATGTGATCCACGTGGACAAGATCCCCACCGTCGAGTAAGAGTCTGATCCCCCCTCATCGCGGACCGTGCATTTCGAAAAGCAGGCGTTCGTTTCCCGCTCCGTCATCTTCAACGGAAGCTCTCGCTCAGAATCGCAGGAGCGAGGGAGCGAGCTTTGCTTTCGCGTTTCGCAATCGGCAAAAAGCTCCAAACGGAACGAACATGGAGGAGGCGATAGCGACGCTCGGCAGAAGCCTCGGCCATTTCTGCAACCACCTCCAGAGCAGCGTCGACGCCCTCAACCAATCCATCGATCGCCGTCCCATCCCTCTCGGTGCGAGCGATGAATTCTAACTCCGGGTCGAGCGTTTTCCTTTCCTTCTCGGTCGATCGATATATCTTTTGGTGTTTCGGATCGCAGATTCGGCTTCTTCGACCTTCGTTCAGTGCCTGAACCGGCGCGTGTCGACGGCGAGCGGGGATCTCGAATTGCTCGACTCCATGTCGTTCGGGACCGTGTCGTTTGAGGAGCTGTTGGGTCACTGCAACGAGGTCTTCAAGAAGAACCAGAGCGACCTCGCTCAGCTCGAAGAACGCCTTAAGAGCTTCGGCTACGTCCCCGGTACTTTCAGCTCGTCCTTTTTTCCACCTGCGTGTTTAATTGATCATGATTGTGTAAGAGAAGTTTACCTGGTGTTGAAGTGTATATCAATATGCTGGATCGATAGGACAAGAATGCTGGGCTGACAATGAAAGGATAATGAAATTAAGTAGGAGTTGAAAGGAATGAAATCATGCAAGTCAGTTATCTGCAGACCTTGATGTCCTGGTTTTGTTTCGTAGATGTTGACGATGATGATGTTGAAGAAGATACAGTCGATGATTTATTGAGCCCTCTCGAACTTGATCCTAATTTTCCACTAGCAAATGGTGGATTTGACCTGCCATCTTCATGTTCGGGGCGACTTACTGCAGCGGCTTCTATGACGAAGTGTTTTGAAGAAGATTCTCTGTATCCTTGTCGGATTTTGATATATCAACTTTCTTTGATCAAAGTCTGAAATATTGGCAAATTGTAGAATTCTAGGCTGAAGAGGTTAGGAGGGATAGATCAATTGGCTAGGGACTCCACACCTGGCCAGAGCTTCTATCCCTTAGGAACAATCACTCGACAGTTTGCTTGCTTCGAGTACAGGCCCTTTTCACGAGTCTACCCTGAGTAGGGCAAGAGCAACCTCAGTGGGCTGACTCGAAATCCATGAGTCCATCTCCTGTCAGGTCTAGTGGTTGTGTTTAATGCTGGTGTCAGCAAAATAATCTTGAACAGCATTTCCTCTGTCGTGACTCAGATTTTACGTACTGTCGACTCCTGCCACTGAGCCATTGCATTTGATGGTATAGGTGCTGCCTTATTATATCCAAGTTGTAAATAGTGATGCAATATATCAGCTTCGCAATATGCAAATTTTTATCCTAATTGACTAAAAAGTGAAAACATGGTCAATTATGGTATACTAGTGCTAGCTTTTGTCTATTTGTCCTTCCTGAAGTTCTCTAGATTTGATGACTCCATCAGCTTGAAAAGACTTGGTATATCTGATGTAGCTCTGGCCACATTAGCTTCAGAAGGTGAGGGAACTTTAAGGATGTGTTAGACATGCTTTGTGCCTTAAGTCCTTTTGAATATCATTTGGTACAAGCTTGCTCCTTTTATATCTCTTCATTGTCATTTGGAACATCAAGTTTGTCCTTGTTGAGATGATTAGAGAGATAATTTGCTGGGAGGCAGTTGAATTCCTTATTACTCAAGCAGTTTTATCTAACAATTTTTCCCTTCTATATCATTTTCAGCTAATGGTAAGACTGTTGAGCCAAATCTATGTTCGAGACAACCACAAAAGTATGATGGTCCTGTCGAATATCTAATTCGATCCTATCAACGATGCAAGAAAAGTAATGGAAATTCGCACAACACAAGAATTTACGTGGTTCAGCAGGGGAGATGTTCCGCCTACCTACGTCCACGGGGAGATGAGATCTGTTTCACTAATAACGTAGAAAAGTGTACAGCCGCTCTTTCTTACTCCCTCCTTCTCTTCTTAGAGACCTGTTTCGCCCTAAACATATATAGCGAAACCCTACATGGCACAAATTACAAAATTGCCCACATAGCCTAAAATATTTAGCTTTTCCATATAACAGAATACAAGACATCATCCTCAACAATCTCCACCTTGGCTTGGATTCTGTAAAGCCACCTGTGAAAGAATATGAAATATAGATGTCTTCATCCCCGTACCTCCATAAGAGGTACACTCCCGCACTTATTGAGTGCGTCCCTCACCTTCAACAGCGAGTTATATTAATTGAGCCCAAACAGGACCCAAACTTCTCAATAGTGACTGGCTTGGTAAAACAATCTGCAGGATTGCTATTCGTGTGAATCTTCCGCAAGTGAATGCTGCCATCTGACACAAGCTCCCTGATTTTGTGAAACTTCACATCTATATGCTTTGTTCTTGCATGAAATACTTGATTCTTGGCGAGATGTATGGCACTCTGACTGTCACAATGTAACACCGCACCTCCTTGCTCTAAACCCAACTCACGAACCAACCTAGTCAACCAGAGCCCTTCCTTAGCAGCTTCTATAACTGCCATGTACTCTGCCTCTGTAGTAGACAATGCAATTGTGGACTGGAGCATCGCCCTCCATGAGATAGGTCCACTAGCTAATGTGAAGACATATCCTGTAGTAGACCTCCTCCTGTCTAGGTCACCAGCAAAGTCTGAATCAACATATCCCGCTAACTCCTTCGAACCTCCGTCGCGACTGAACATAATACCCAAGTCTGCAGTCCCGCTCAGATATCTAAAGATCCACTTGACTGCATTTCAATGCTCCTTCCCTGGATTACTCATGTATCTGCTAACAACACTGACTGCATGAGATAAATCTGGCCTGCTACACACCATAGCATACATGAGACTCCCAACTGCGCTAGCATAAGGAACTCGAGTCATCTCCTCAATCTCCTCATGTTTTGTGGGGCATTGCTGTTCAGATAACCTGAAGTGGCTAGCTAATGGTGTCCTCACTGGTTTAGCCTTATTCATGTTGAAACGCTCAAGCACCTTTTCAACATACCTCTTTTGAGACACCTAGAGTTTACCTGCACTTCTATCACTATGAATTTCCATACCAAGGATCCTCTTAGCAGCACCAAGATCCTTCATCTCAAACTCATTATTCAACAAGGACTTTAAAGAGACAATATTATGCATATACTTAGCAGCAATGAGCATGTCATCAACATAAAGCATCAAAAGAATAATCGAATTATCATCTGACACTTTAAAATAAACACAGCAATCATACTCACTTCTCGAATAGCCAATTTGCACCATAAAAGAGTCAAAACGCTTGTACCACTGTCTTGGAGATTGCTTAAGGCCATAAAGTGATTTCTTAAGCAGACAAACGTGATCTTCCTTTCCTGGCACTTTGAACCCGTCAGGTTGCTCCATGAAAATCTGTTCCTCCAAGTCTCCTTGAAGAAACGCTGTCTTCACATCAAGTTGCTCCAGCTCAAAATCAAACATGGCTACCAAGGCAAGTAGAACCCGAATGGAAGTGTGCTTTACTACTGGAGAGAATATTTCATTATAATCCACCCCTTCCTTCTGTGCATACCCTTTAGCTACAAGTCTAGCCTTGTACCTTACCTGCTCATTCTCAGACACTGCCTCTTTCTTGCGAAAGATCCATTTAATCCCAATGATCTTTCGCCCTTTAGGTTTCTCCACAATCTTCCAAGTCCTGTTTTTCTGTAAGGATTCCATTTCTTCCATCATAGCTGACATCCATTTATCACTATCAGCATCAGATATCGCATCCTGATAGGAAGATGGATCGCCTGTACCTACTGTGAGGGCATAAGCAACCATATCCTCAAACCCGTATCTCACGGGTGCTTTGTGAGTACGTTTTCCTCTACCTTCTGCAATGGTGTAGGTATCTTTTACTGTCTCCTGTGATTCTGGTGAGTTACTGGATGATTCCCTTCCTCCCGCTATTTCTGGTTCACCTGACTCCACCTGCACAGTAGATCCTTCTTCACTTCTGCCATCTGCATGTGAACTGTTATTTGCCTTCACCATGTCAGATTCATCAAAGACAACGTCCCTGCTAACCACGGTCTTTCGTGCATTAGGATCCCATAGCTTGAATCCTTTCACACCTTTCTCATAGCCAAGAAAGATACACTGCTTAGACTTTGAGTCTAACTTGGAACGATGTCCACTTTGTACATGAACATAGGTTGGACAACCAAATACTCTCAAACTAGAATAGTCAATCGGATTACCTGTCCATACCTCCTCAGAAACTCTGCATTCAATGGCTGTAGATGGAGACCTGTTAATGAGATAGCATGCCATATTAACTGCTTCTGCCCATAAACTTTTACTCAATCCCTGCATTCAGCCTCATACTCCGAGCCCTTTCCAAAAGTGTCCTGTTCATCCTCTCAGCTACACCGTTTTGCTGTGGTGTATCTGATGTTGTGAAGTGACGTGTGATCCCTTCAGCTTTACATAGTTCCAGGAATGGTGTGTACCTGTATTCCCCTCCATTGTCTGTTCTCAAGCACTTTAGCTTCTTTCCTGTCTGCCTTTCTACTTCAGCCTTCCACTCTTTGAATTTGGAGAAGACTTCGTTCTTCTGCTTCATGAAGTAGACGCAGACTTTCCTTGAGTAATCATCAATGAAGGTCACAAAATATTCGGCTCCACCTTTTGATTTGATCGGTGCAGGACCCCATATATCGCTGTGTACATAATCAAGTACATCCTTGCTCGTATGCTTCGCAATTCTGAAACTAACCCTGCTCTGTTTCCCGAAAACGCAGTATTTGCAGAAGTTCAATTTGCAGCTTTTGACACCTTTTAACAGCTTCCTTTTATGAAGCTCCATCATACCCCTTTCACCCATATGCCCTAACCGCATATGCCACGGATGAGTGTCATCTCAGATCGACTCATAACCGTAGTCACGGATGCGCCACCACGCATCTTGTACTCCCTATGAGCTCGTATAAACTTCCAGTCAACTCTCCTTTCATGACAACCATAGCTCCCTTAATGACTTTGAGAACTCCACCTGCTGCTGCGTACTTGCACCCATTCACATCAAGCGCACCCAAAGATATCAAATTTTTCTTTAGATCTGGAACATGCCTTACATCCACTAAAGTTCTGACTATACCATCAAACATTCTGATTTTAATAGTCCCTATTCCAATGGTTTTGCAAACCGCATCATTCCCCATTAGAACAGATCCACCACTGTATGACCGGTATGAATCAAACCAATCCCTATTCGGGCACATGTGATAAGAGCATCCAGAGTCTAAAATCCATGAATCAGCGAACTGATTCTTACCTGATGATATAGAGAGAAGATCTCCATCATCACCGTCTGAGCTATCAGCCACACTTGCTTGATTAGAAGTTTTCTCGCGCTTCTTCAAGTCTTCCTTTCTCTTATAACAGTCTCTTTTCAGATGGCCTTCCTTCTTGCAATAATAACAAGAGAGTTTTGTTTTACCCCCTCTTGATTTCGATCGACCCTTATTCCCGGATCCCCGCTGGATTGTTCTTCCCCGTTCCTGCTCCTTGACTTTTCCGATGAGACCCTCACCCTGTGCCGTAGCACTGTTAACCCTCTTTCTCGTATCATTAGATAATAGGGCAGCAGTGACCTCATCTGTCTCAAGTGTCTCCTTTCCATACAAGAGTGTCGTCACCAGATGATCATAAGATGCTGGTAGCGACGATAGCAGTAATAGGGCTTTGTCTTCATCTTCCATTGAAACCTCCAGACTTGCAAGTTTATCTGATTGAACGTGTTGATGTGTTCTAACAGATCTGAGCCTTCCTCCATCTGTAGAGAGAATAACTGTTTTTTCAAAAACAGTTTGTTCGTTAGGGACTTGGTCATATAGATGCTCTCAAGTTTCGACCACACCTGCGGAGCCGACTTGAGATCCACCACATACTGCAGAACCTCATCAGATAGGTTCAATCGAATGGCGCTTACCGCCCTTTCCTCCATCTCCCCCCAATCTTCATCACTCGTTTCTGGTTTCTTCCCTTTCCCCAGCAGCACTTTCGACAGGCCCTGCTGAATCAGAAGATCCATCATTCTTCGTCGCCAGAGAGTGAAGTTGTTCTTTCCATTAAACCTCTCGATGTCGTACTTGACACTCGAACCCTTTCCTGCCATCTTGATAGCTTGCCGAACCAAGCTCTGATACCAATTGTCGAATATCTAATTCGATCCTATCAACGATGTAAGAAAAGTAATGGAAATTCGCACAACACAAGAATTTACGTGGTTCAGCAAGGGAGATGTTCCGCCTACCTACGTCCACGGGGAGATGAGATCTGTTTCACTAATAACGTAGAAAAGTGTACAGCCGCTCTTTCTCACTCCCTCCTTCTCTTCTTAGAGACCTGTTTCGCCCTAAACATATATAGCGAAACCCTACATGGCACAAATTACAAAATTGCCCACATAGCCTAAAATATTTAGCTTTTCCATATAACAGAATACAAGACGTCATCCTCAACAGGTCCATGCTTGAGTTTTTCCTTCTTTGTCGGTCTACTTTTTTCCTTCTCCATTTTTGCTTTTTCTTCATTAAGGCATGAACCTCCTCTGCTATTAATCTTCCTTCTCGTCCCAATTAGAAATCAAGAGGATAAGATGTATGACCTGGAGGGGCCATATCAACCTGCTACATTGAACTTGGGGGCAAGTGAAGGTACTAATACAAAATATTTGCATGGGTTATTGGTCAATTAGATTCTTTTAAGTTCACTCTTCTTACTCCCAGACTTTATACTTACGTGATTCGATACACTTGAATCCAGTTGAAGGTCCAAAATCTGTAGTTAACGCATCAAAAGATGAGTACGAAAGTCTTCCTTCCTACATGAAAAGTCTTGCATCATGGGAGGTATGAAACTCTAACTTTAGCTTTGTATTTTGTCTCAGACTCTCAGCAGATGCACTGCAGGCAATAACTTTTAATTTGCATTAAGCTGCTGCTGTCGTAAGACCATCAGGGTTAGTAGTGCGTGAGCCGTATATTCGTTTGAAACAGAAGCAGTGTGCTTGCTTGATTGGATTAATCCTACTAGTACAGTCTCCCAGAGAATTTTGGAAATGAAGTAGGTTAGACTGTTTCACTAGCATTAGCACATGGGCAAGCTAGTAAATGTTACTCTTGATGTGTAAAATCATCTTCCCACTGCAAGGTTCTGTTTCCTTTCTTGCCATAATTTGCTGACAAGAGATCTGGTGTTAGTCCTAACCCATTTACATAATGCATTTTACTCTGCAGGATTTGCTTATAGCTATTGAGAAGATAAACTCGTACCTAAGCAAGAAAGAGAACCGTTTGGAAAACAAGAGCTTCTTTCAAGATGAAATATCATCATTGGCATTGGGTGCGTATGTAACGTCAATAGTGATATGAATTTCTAAGTGACCATGAAAGCATTTGACCAGTTCTTGCCTCAACAAGCCTGTTGTCTGTGACGTAATGCCCTCTGAAAACTTTATTTTACCAAAATGCGGATAGCCGTCCTCTTAGTCTTTTTCCTCATTGAGTCTTAATAGCGGTATTTTCCCTAAGCACTTACAGATGATTCATTGTTGCTCCTTATTGCAGGGCCCAAGGCAAGATCCTATCTGCTGCTTCTTGCTCGCATGAAGCACCTGGTTGTTGAGACAGTTGATGGATTGATCTCGTACAGAGTTTTATAGAAGGAAATACCTTCGCAGAAATACACTTGTTGGAATTACTGTGCTCAGTTTGTATCAGCCTTTCAGACACGCATTGTTCTCCATAAGGCTTGACTGAAACATTTTTCTAAGCACCAGTTTTGTAGATAAATCATCTTATGTTAAATTATTACTCAGGTACAGTACCCTGCAATTTTCATCTCAATCGCTACGGTCAATTAATCTGAAAATTGCTTCGTTGCTAGGTGATTCGACTCTCAATAGTTACAAAAGAGTCATCTCCCTTTTGCCTTGTTTGTTGTGATGAAGCGAAGGAGAGAAGAAAGTATCAAAGAGAAATGCAGGGGAACATATGTTTAGATCAATCACTGATTGACCGATTTGCAGTCATTGGCAGCCAACTAGCGGTTACACGCGTGCCCCGCCTTTAGATGTTGAGGCATCCATATGGTTGCCATGTATATTATCTGCTGCATTTTCCAGTTCTCCCGGTAATTGTAGTGTGGTCATGGTCTTCTTATGTTAGACAACAGTTGCTTTGTTAAGCACATTCTCGAATTCGGCCACAAATCACGGTATTTTGTAGGCAGTAACGAAGATGCAATCTGGACTGGTAAAAGTACACTTTTGGGGGCATCCCACCCTTGACAAGAATCAAGCTGGAAGAGGCAAAGAATGAATAAGAAGCGATCGTATCTTCTTCGTTTTATTTGTTTGAGCAATTCTTTGTTGCCCTTTGACATATTAGTGAAGGATCAAGAAGACCATGCAAGCAAAGAGTACAAGACTCAACCTGCTGAACACCGAAAATACATTCAGTTTTGTACCAGTGACAGCAAGACCTAATCTGTGCAGGTACACGGATTAAGCTTATTATAGAAATGTCTCTTGCTTTCGTTATCTTTCTCAGAGATCTCTGTGACTCCCATCAAGCATAGTTCTTTTCCACCCCATCCAAGTTCCAAGTTTCAATCTCTTGGCTACTTCCTGCGTGCGCACTTGCTATGATACTCCGTGATCTCTGTAAGTTTTCTGAAGCCAGGGGATGTTAGGCTAAATGGAAGTTCGAAATAGTGCTGTGCGATTAAGGAACATCATGAAGTTCCAATCTCGATAGAAGTTGCGCTATCAAAATCTTATGGAAATGAAATCATAAAGACAAAGGAAACGTCCAGCAAGTCAAAGCATCGAATAAAGCTATAAGTCATTGCGATCAGCTAAAATATAACAAGAACAGGGAAGAACAAGGAAGGCATAGCCTGTACGATCCCTTCTACAAAAAGCACTGGGATCACCAACCAGGACTCTCGCTAATTAGAGTGAAATCATAAAGAAAAAGGAAACGTCCAGCAAGTCAAAGCATCGAATAAAGCTATAAGTCATTGCGATCAGCTAAAATATAACAAGAACAGGGAAGATCAAGGAAGGCATAGCCTGTACGATCCCTTCCACAAAAAGCACTGGGATCACCAACCAGGACTCTCGCTAATTAGAGTGAAATCATAAAGAAAAAGGAAACGTCCAGCAAATCATAGCATCAAATAAAGCTATAAGTCATTGCGATCAGCTAAAATATAACAAGAACAGGGAAGAACAAGGAAGGCATAGCCTGTACGATCCCTTCCCCAAAAAGCACTGGGATCACCAACCAGGACTCTCGCTTATTAGAGAAGCCTCTGCAATTTTCAAAGCAGAGGAAAACAGCACATACTTCTAAACCAATCATTCTCATTCCTGTAGAAGGGCGAAAGAGTGGGCATCTGATACAGGGATCAAGCAATGAAAAGGAGCTTATTCTTCTCTGTGCACATATTTGTCTTGCAAGAAACAGAGGAACAAAGAAAGGAATGCAGTAAAGATTAAAGGGAGAGAAAGGTAGCAGAATGCAGACCACTTTTGCTTTATCTTTCATCAGATAAGGTATTCCAAATCTAAATGGAACGGCATCGAATTACTTGCAGATTTCCACCAAGAATTGAGTGAACTATGCAACAGTTTGGAATAACGTTGCGCATACTCCATTGCACCATGTGTATTCCTAGTCCCTGCCTATATAACCTGGTAAAATCATGCTTCTTTGCTATCCTTCTCCTAATAACTCGTTTAGTTCCTGCATTGCGGTTATGCCAAACCTCCTCGAAAGCCACTAACACCAATCACAACCATGACTGAGGTCGTCTCAAGCATCCTAGGACCTCTTGTGGAGAAACTAGCTTCATCGGCTGTGGAAGAAATTCAACTGGTATGGGGCGTCAAGGATGACCGAGAGAAGCTCAAGAGCACGCTAGAGATGATCCAGAAGGTGCTTGCCGATGCTGAGCAGAAGCAAACGAAAGAGGCAGCTGTGAGGCTTTGGTTGTTGAAGCTTAAAGACTTCTGTTACGATGCCGAGGATGTGCTAGACGAATTCGAAGTTAGGGCTTTGTGGAGGAGGACGAGGTCGACCGAGCACTTGACTCTCAGAAGGAAGGTACGCTACTTGTCCTCGTGGATATCCAACTTCATTTTCCAGTTTAAGATGGCACATAATATGAAAGAACTGAGAAAGAGAATTGATGGGATCAACGAAGAGAAAACTCAGTTCAACTTGTCGAGTGATGTTTATTACAAGACCATAGTTCCTCGGAGGGAAACTCATTCTTTTGTGCCCCCTTTGAATGTGATTGGAAGAAACAAAGAAAAGGAAATAATAATAGAGCTGTTGATAAAATCAGATGATGGTGGAGCTGAAACGATAGCAGTCCTTCCGATTCTCGGAATGGGAGGTACTGGAAAGACGACTCTCGCTAAATTGGTATACAATGATGATAGGGTAAATCAACATTTTGATCGCAAAATTTGGTTATCCATGCCAGTAGAATTCGAAGTTAAGAAGATAATAAGAGACATCATCGAGTCTCTTGGTCACAAAGAAAATAGTGATAGACTTGAAATGCTGCAAGATTGCCTAAGAAACATTGTGCAGAACAAAAGGTGTTTGTTCGTAATGGACGATGTGTGGGAAGCGAGGAGGGAGGATTGGGTGGGACTGAGAGATTTGTTAGGAGGCGTTTCTGAAGGGAGTAAAGTCATTGTGACTTCGCGGAATAAATCGATCACCGAAATCATGGGCGCTGTCCACCCGCTTAACTTGGCCAACCTTTCGTGGGAGGAATCTTTGAATTTGTTCGTGAAGTGCGCATTTGATCAGGGGCAAGAGAAAAATCACCCGGACCTTATGGTAATCGGCAAGGAAATCGTGAGCAAGTGCGGGGGAAATCCTCTAGCGGTGAAGACTTTGGGAAGCTTGTTGTATTCCAAAAAAAAGAACCGGAGCGACTGGGAATATGTAAGAGATAGTGAGACATGGCAATTACCAAATGATATGTTAACTTCACTTAGAATAAGCTACGATCTAATGCCGTCTTACTTGAAACAATGTTTTGCTTATTGCTCGATATTCCCGAAGAACCACCTGCTCCTCAACTTGGAACTGATTGAACTGTGGATCGCGAACGGGTTTATCCAATCCAGCGGAAATAATCAGGAGCCGGAAGAGATTGGACGGCAGTACATGGAGGAGCTGTGCTCGAGATCCTTCTTCGAAGTTGTCGACGAAGTGTGTCCATTTATGTCCTTCCGAATGCACGACCTCATTCACAAACTTGCCATTTCGGTGGCACAAACTGAATCGTTCAACATGAAAGTGTGCGCGCAGGATATTTCCCCGACGACTCGGCATATATCATTTCCCGACCCATCGAGTGTACCAAAAGATGATCTGCGCGGCTGCTTGAGAAAACTCAGCGGCGTTCGTACCATCATGTTTGAGGAGGATTCCGATGGGGAGTTCTTTCTAGAGATGTGCATTTCGCGATTCAAGCACTTGCGAGTGCTAGGGCTGTCTGAATCTAGCTTTGACCTACTGCCTAGTTCCATAGGCGGTCTAAAGCATTTGAGGTGTCTTGATTTAAGCCAGAACAGTAATATCAAGAAACTCCCCAAATCGATCTGCAAGCTTCGCAATTTGCAATACTTAAATCTTGGCGGGTGCGAGGAACTCGAGGAGCTGCCTGCAGACATCAAGAATATGTTCAGCCTCCGCGTTTTGGTCATAACCACGAAACAGCAGCGTTTCCCGGAGAGGGGAATAGGATGCTTGACCTCTCTGCGGTGGCTAATCATTGGAGGGTGCGAGAATTTGGAGGCCTTGTTCGATGATATCCAATCACTCACCTCGCTCCACAAGTTGGTCATTGCAGGTTGTCCGAAGTTGGCCTCCTTACCGCAGGGCATCAAGAATCTGAAGGCATTGGAGGATCTCTTGATTGGCGGCTGCCAGAGCTTGAAGCTGCCGGGAGGCGAAAGCAACGAACCAGGCTCCATGTCGAGGCTTCAATCGTTCATGATTGGGGGATTATCGGAAATAATTTCTTTGCCCGGGTGGCTTGAAGGTTCTGCAAGCACACTGCAGAGGATAAGAATCAAGGATTGTCCCAACCTGAGTGTGTTGCCCGAGTGGCTGCAAAATTGTTCTTCTCTGAGAACACTGCAGATTAAACAGTGTCCTAAATTGTCCTCTCTGCCAGATGGCGTTCGCCGCATTCCCACACTGACAAAGCTGCGGATAACTGGTTGCGGGGAATTGAGCAGTTGTGGAGAAGAAGATGATTAAAATTGATTCATCGGTACGCCATCAAATTCCCCCCTTTTTTTTCGACACGTTTATGAATTTTAAAATTTGATATTTTGAGATCATATTTCTTATATTGTCTTTATTTACTTGCATGGTCAACTGCCACGCCATCTCTTGGAATCTGAAGAAAAAATCAGTTCCACGAGAGCTGCGGATAATTAATTAATTGCGGGGGAATTGAGCACGAGCACCGATGTTGAAGAAGAAGATAATTGCGAATAAAATGGCTAAATATCTAGATATTGTCTTGTAAAATAAATTCTTATAAGATGAGTGTAAAAATGGGTGGCTAACAGATTGACCACTCTATATATTCTCTAGAAATACTTAGAAAGATACCTTTTAAGAAATATCCGTGTGCTTATGTAAGTGTGTATAAGTTGTTCTCTCGATCGATATTATAAAGAGCATATGTGTGTTTTCTTTAAATGAGTTTGTTGTTTTTTTTAATCAATCGGCATCAAAGTTTTCGATGCGCGCTCTCTACGACCACAGCTAGAAGCGGTGGAGATTGGAGCAAGATCGCTCCTGTCTGAGAGATTTATATCGGCGTAAGGAAGAGAATAAATTGATTCATCGATATAAGCGAACTCCCCCTTTTTTTGACACGTTCATGAATTAAATTTGGATCATGCATACAATTCAAATGATTGCTCATCCGGTGATTTTCGGTCTTTTTTACATTAACTATGTTCTTGTAAGTTGAAGTCTTCCAGAAAGTATGCGATGCTATCTGCAAAGCAAAAGTGGCTACTTTGCATCTTGCAATTCCTTCTTTTTTTGTTTGGTCAAAACTTGCAATTCCATTTGACTATCTATGTTGGGGGTTAATTTACGCCTCAACATAAATAGCTTAAAAAAAAGAGAATAGCGGAAGCACCTCAATGTGTCATATTATTAGAAATTTAAAAATTGGAATTTAAGGATAAAAGAAATTTCAAAGCGCCTCCCATGCTTGGAGCCGCAACTAAAAATGAGGTTTCTTGGCCCATTGACATGTTTGTGATAATCTTTTATATTTTTTCGATTGACATATATGTAAATTGTAAAATCTTTTGAAAATTGGAATCTGCCAACGACACTCGACTGCTTAACGCCCATCGGGGGATTAAGGATAGGCATTATGGGATAATTGACTATGACTTATGACACATCAGCACCGGTCGAGGACAACCGTTGTCGACCTCATGGCCGAATGAAAGCTACTCAAGTCCAACTGATGCTAATTGAGACTAATTGACTACCACTTGGGATTGAGTGACAATGACCCAAGACTGTTCGCGATGACAATTTGCATTGAAATGATAGAGAACACGCAATATTTTCTCCTAGTTGTCGAGGTGATTTAATCTATTTCACCCGTCAAAAAAGAGAATTTTAAATGACATGTTGACTATAGGATGCAAACATGCAGGGCAGTTTTGTTGAATTGACTCATTTTTAAAACTTTGTAAGAGTAGATTGACAATATATGTGTACATATATATTTTGAATCAAAGAAAAAATTTAAAGGGCCACTTTGCAATTTTCCTTTGAAAAACACAACTTGGATAATTTTCACATATGTATCTTTAAATTTCCCGCTTGAAGACTATAAGAAATGTATGATGCGATTTTCGTATACTCGATTAGGATAACTTTTGGAATAGTTTTCCACTGTCCGAAAATCATCATTTTTATGAGGAGGATCGGAATTTACTCCAAAAAACGTTTGAGCTCAAAAGTAATGCCATTCATCAACCTAGGTTATTTTTTTTTATGGTAATCAACCTAGGGTTAAGTTCGCAGAGAAAATGCAAATACTATGTTGCACTTGATTATAGGGTCATGAACTGGTAAGCTTATGACATCCCTTTTGTCATGGAAAAACAACACTAACCAACAAAATTCATGTCAAAAGATGCATTATCTATTTCTCTTGCTCCCATCCTCCCAATCGTGTCCCTGGATCGTAGTTAGTGAATAGGCAAAACTCATTCCCAAGCTTGCTGGAATGCTTAGGCCGGAATATGCATGGATGCAAACCAAGAAGTTCTGCAGCTCTATCCTTTTGAACTTCTCCTGCAAGCATCTCAGAATTGGCCAGGCATTAGAAAGGGATATAAGGCACCCAGCATACTCCAAAAAGGGGGAAAAATAGAACTGCAGCAGTTCATAGCTATAACGTCACTGCAAGTGAAAGACAATAAACCAAGAAGTTAGGTTAAAGGTTCCACAGGAGGACTAGCAGTCCACACATACCTGTAAGTAAAAGAAAGTGAGCGTTGGACTGCGAGAGGAAAGATATGGTTTGAGCAACTTTCTCCAAGCACTCCCCACTCTGTGGTTCATAAAGAAAGGAATCAAATTGTATGCAGCCGACAATGGAAAGAGATACATAAGAGTGTCCGCTAAAGGATCTTCCGGTTCCGGGACAAGATAAGACATGGTAAACATAGAATAGGGAGGCCTAAGCATTTATAGTTCGCGAGGCCACATGAACTTACCAGATACGGAGGGTCTGCAACAACAACTTGGAAAGCATGCTTCATTTCAGTTGGCAACTCTTCTGGTTGGTTGTAGTCATAAAACATGAAATCACTTCTGTATTGTTCAAAACATTTGTCGTACTTGAGCAGTTGCACAGAGACACTGGGATCCATTCTCTGATATGATACCACAAATATGTTACTTCAAACACCTTTCTCATAATGACACGCCAATGACATGCACACTTCGTAATCTGAGATATGAGTGTTGATGAAAAGAGTAAACCCATTCCAAAAGTTGATAAACTACCATGAATCATCTCATTATGGCCGAATCTTCTCTTAGACTTCAAGGCTGGACTAAATCATACGTTCGAGAGGCGCATCAAAATATATTACTTGTACTACAACAAATGGCATAATGCAACACCTATCGATTGTTCACGCATTTTACAAAACTATCTTCCCATTTGATACTTGACCGGACACCACGGACCCACCTACTACTTACATTATATAAAATAACCAAGTGAAAGCCAAAAGACCATAGAAAGTCAAAAGCTCAAAGCTCGAGTGTTCCGGCGTGGATAGGATTAACATACTAACGACCTTGAGGTTCTACTTCAGGAAAAGAGTTCAACAATAAGGGGACAAAGGCGATACGGCTTCCAAACAGCAATAGCTTCTGTAACTGACCATTCCCCCTTCATTTTCCTAGGGAGAGGATATATGTCAAAATGCCGAACAGGATAGTATACTCCAATCTGAAATTTGCTCCAGTAATATGGTCGCTTGAAAACAACTCATTTATTCCGAAGTCGAATCTTATTTAATTGATTTAGCATGGGGTCATCGAACTTTGACATGACCATCGCATTTGCGCGGGTGGTGTTGAGCCAATTGCTCTCTCGGCAAAGCCCAATTCCAATATGATCGCTCGAATGACATAAGGGTATGCACACTCCTGACAGTAAGCGCGGTGAAACATGACATAAGGAAAGGCATGGACCGGAACCCGAAAGGGCAGTAACAAGAACATCAACCAGAGGCCCAAGCTGGCCCTTTGCAGTTACAAGGAGTATCCAATAACATCGACCAGAGGCTCGCGTTGGTCCTTTGCATTTACAAGGAGTGACAAGAATATTGGAAAAAAGCGTAAACCGGAAGCTCATTGTCAAGTAGAAACACAGAGCGCAGTTCAGATAATCACAGTCGATCAGTTCTTCAACCACTGAAAAGCCGATGGAACAGTAAAATGTCGCACCTTGAGATAAGCATAAAGCATGGGGCGAGCGATGCAAGCAACGCGAGCGCGAGTGCCCGAACAGAGCGCGAGGACTTCATTGGCGACGGCCAGAACTGGCTCAGCCTCCAGTCCTCCGTCAACAGGGCCACCTCCGACTGCTCCGCTGGCGACTGGTTCTGCTCGCGGAGGAATTCCTGGAGAGCCGCGACGGCTTGCGTGCTTAGCGTCGGCACGTCGCCGCCGCCCGACCTCGACGTTGCAACACCAGTAACCATAGAAGGCGCACTCCTCTTCATTTTCTCTTTTTCTTAATTTGTCGTTATACATTTTTCCACATTCTTAAGTGAAAATTGGGTCAACAATTTTTTTGCTTTCTTCAAATTTTATTTTCACCGAAATACTTACAACTTAAATATATTCATGTAAAAATACACATATAACATAGCATATTTTCTTTTTGAAGTTTACAATTGTTCTCGATAAAATCTCGATTTTGCTTTTTCTAACCAAATCCAAAGGTGGAAGGGCAAAGACTCCAAACGATTTCGTAATCTTGGTATTCAACTCCTTTTTCTATAAAATAACAAACAATGTTGATGAATCTTAAATTGTCGGAATATCTAATGTCACATTTTGATTCAGCTAATTACATAATGAGACAAAAAGTAAAATCACGAAAAATGTCAAGTTATTGAACGCGTAGAAAATGGGAAATGCCGAGTTCAGGGTCATATAATAATATAAAGCGTTGACGATGGTGATTGCTTGTATTTCATGCCTCGGACGTCGTGCGATTGCTAATGCCTTCAGGTTCTTGGCGACCTTGAATTTCTCCTCATAACCACTATTCCTATGCTAGGTTAGATAATCTAAAACAAGTGATGCACGGCCTCACAAAGCCTATTTGCCTTCATGAATCACAGAAGGGGAAAAGAGTTTCTTGACAGCATGGAACAAATTGAACATGGCCGCGATTGACTTTTCATAGATGAACTTCCCTCTATCTATTGGTCACTACGGTTTACTTAAAGAGTCCATTGGTATTTTCTTGGCCTTCTATTAGTACATCCCAATATTGTCGTAGTTGTCCCGGGTTTCAAGGTGACTGTTGGTGTTGCTTAGTCTAGGTGTGCTTTAATTTTACGAAGACCGTGCATAATCTTTTGCTCTCAAATATGTACGAGAAGTATGAGGACATCATCACGCTAATTTATAACATTGTAATTCTGGCTGTGCTTGTTAGGATGGTTTCTTTTCCATAAAAA